AGCCTTTCGAATTTAGTTCTTCTAGTGTATGTTTAAAATTGAAGGCATCTTTAAAAAATGAACCTGCAGATGTTACATATGGTGTGAGAGCCCAGGCTATGTATTTGAAGAGATTGTAGTTGAATGAATCATAAGTGGACAGTATAGGTCGTAGGGGGCAGTCCTGTTTATGTGGTTTAGGAATGCCATAGAGTTGTGGTGTGCGTGAATCAGTGTTACGTAGATAAAAATAAAGATCGTCAGTAATTAAATTCTCTCTCTACATATGAATGTCTCAGGTGTTTACTTCTTTCTCTGACAAAACGAGTTTTCGCTCTATTTCTTTAATTTAGTATTTACAGCACAAAAATAAAATGAATAATGCCAAGTTATTTTATTTTACGGTGTTAACCATATATCACCAACTGTTTGTGCTAAGATAGAATTTGACTTTACGCTCATGTATTATTGAATGGACTTCACTTATTTTTGTGTTACTTCAACCCAAGACACCCACTTACACTGTAATCGTTATTGTTAAACGAAAAACTTAACACAGTTTCTAATCCCATGTTACCAATAAGGATAAAAGCGTGTGAGAAAGAGTCAGAAGCAGCAATTACACTCTCTTGAAAAAAAGAGTAACTATATGAAGTGGAGAAAGGTATTTTCATTCTTTCTAATCGATGTTCTTCTTCATTCACTGCTGATGTGGGACACTTTCAAGAACGAATATTTATTTACAACTAATTAGACGCAGGTTGAATTCATTACTTCGTGCTGCTTCTGCTAGAATTAGTATATAGCGTCAAATTTGCGAGAGATAAAATAATGATCTGAAGGCCGTGGTTGCTAGGTGCTCTCGCTGCAAGCACTGACTCCAGCGTTCACTTCTGCATTGTTGGTGCGCATACGTTTTCCATATTCTTACCTTAATAGTGAATAATAGTGAAATACGAGTTATTTTGAAAGCCATTTTACAATGAACTTTAGACTTTTGAAAATCGAACTTTGTAAAACTCCTTCCTCAAAATTTTACCATTAATATAGAATCTACTTGCGTCAATATATTTTTCTTATTGCTGGGCAAAGTTTGCGGATAAAGCAAAACATTTGACAATTTAAATTTCTGAAAAGTAAAATAATCATGCATGTTTTATACATATCGAACAAACTACGTAAACAGAAAAACTGCAGTAGTTTTGTTTGTCGTTTTTCTTTTTTCTTATAACTACAAAATTAATGTTTCTTGGATTAAAGATTTATTTTTTTATCTTCTAGCCCGGATGCAAGAACTTTGTCTTTAGATTATAGTTTAAGTAAGATCAATAGAGTTAAGTGGGAACATAGAAACTACGAAGTGTTTATTGACATTTCATTCGTGTTATTCTATCTCCGTATATATATATATATACTGTATATATGTAGAGTTATCAGACACTGTCGATAACGGATTAATTAGAAAATCCTTAGTTCATCATCGATCGTGAATTAGTTAAGGAAATTCGATCGTCAACGATGATGAACTGTTCGGTCAAGATTGATGATGAATTGATTTTTAAAAGATATGATAATCATCAATGATTAATCAATCAACAAAACTGTAAATAACTCAAGACAAAATTCAAGTTAAACAAGGTATTGCTTTTTATGATACACCTAATCACATAGTATAACATACAAAAACCAGGTAAAACTGTCAATTATTTCAGTACTTTATACATACGTTGAGTCTTCGGAACCTATATAATTGGTTTCAGCAGTCGTGGGTGTTAAATCCTCCAAAAGGCGCTCGTCTTGATCCAGTAATTCCAACTTGAAACCACCCTGTTGGATTACAAAACAGCATTAGCATTACTTTAGATATGAATACTAAGTAGAGGATATTAATAACACCAACTTACAAAATGGCATTAGCATGACTTTAGATGTGTATTCTAAGTACAGGATATTAATAGCATCAAGTTACAAAACGGCATTAGCATGACTTTAGATATGTATTCTAAGTACAGGATATTAATAACATCAAGTTACAAAACGGCATTAGCATGACTTTAGATGTGTATTCTAAGTACAGGATATTAATAACATCAAGTTACAAAACGGCATTAGCATGACTTTAGAGGTGTATACTAAGTACAGGATATTAATAACACCACCTTACAAAATTGCATTGGCATTTACTTTAGATGTGTATTCTAAGTACAGGATATTAATGACACCAACTTACTTGTACAGAAATGAATGTACTGCTCACATATATCACCTGCTCCAGAACACCAGTATAAAATCAATCAGTATCACCTGTACCAGAACACTAATATAAAGTGAACCAGTATCACCTGTACCAGAACACTAGTATAAAGTGAACCACTATCACCTGCACCAAAACACCAGTATAAAGTGAACCAGTATCACCTGTATCAGAACCACAGTATAATGTGAACCAGTATCACCTGCACCATAACACCAGTGCAACGTGAACCAGTATAACGTGCACCAGAACACCAGTATCACCAGCACCAGAACACCAGCATAAAGTTAACCAGTTTCACCTGCACCAGAACACCAGCATAAAAGAGATC